GACTTGCCTGATCGAGAACAAACAATAGTCACGTATTTCAACTCACCATCATCCCTTTTTGTTGATGATCTTATCTTCACTGGGAACCCCAACCGCTTACCATAACCCGTGTAATACTCAAGCAACTGTTTATAACTTTCGAACATCATCCCAACCTTAGGCTCGTCTACATCAATTACATTCATCATTTCAGCCACAACATTTTCTTCTATCAACTACAAACTACTTGAAGATTCACCTTACATTGTAATAAAATTTTACTGCAACACGTGCTTAGTTGACTAACCAGAATTTTGTCTAACACAAAAAATGTTTGAACACCATAACAAAACAAATTTATTTATGCTCCAAAATAACCAGCAAAAGGAAATGATTTTTTTTTTTGTTGTGTTTGACAAATCTATAAATCAAACCTTTGTTTGTATATATATATATAAATCAAAATAAATAACTAGAAATATAACAATAAAAAATAAATTGAATCAACCTCCAATTACTACCCAGAAAATAAATAAAATGAAATTAACGTACAGTAGAGCCGACTATGGTGAAGTCAATTTCGACAGATGTTCAGGACAATGTGTACTTTGACAAAGAGATGAAGAGGGAAAAGAATGGCTATGACTTCAACGAAGAGATGTAGCCAACTGGAAGACGAGGAGGAAGAACACCGACGTTGATCTCAGATGATGATTACTAAGGAAGATGAAGAATGGAATGGTTTATTGCTTGTGGCTCGTCGTTTAGGTGGGTTTTTCTGGTGAAGAAGCTCGTCGTTCATGCGGCCGGCGTCGATTGACTGGTTCGGGGAGAGAGAATGTGAGAAGAAGACTGATTTTTTTTTGATGAAATCAAATTTTTTTAAGTTGTTGATTTTTTAAGTTTTTTTTTTTAAGACATTAGGTGGCTTAATTGTTGAGTTGGTAATGGCACCTCAACTGCTACATCATTAAGTCCCTTTTTTAGGGCCAAAATTAAGGTCCCAATAGCATTACCCAAAATATAATGGAGAAGATCTTGATCAATCTAGTTACTTGACAGTATATCCAAACTTCACGGCATATTTTACAAGTTTATTCATCTCATCCTCATCGATGAATCCATCGTCGTTGGCATCGGCGTGGTGGAGACTCCACCAAGCCCTCCATTCAGGGATATATGCCCCTAGGTATTTAAAGGCTTCCTTCAGCTCTTCCCTGCACAGTTTGCGATCTCTATTTTTGTCGAAGTTTTTGAAAACTAACTTTAGCTGTTCCTCCTTTGGGGCCATCATTTCTACACTCGTGAGCTGTGGGCGTGGGTAGAGAGTCATGGTTGTCATAGCTAGCTAGAGAGACACCAAATAACTAGGGTACCGTTAGTGTAAGGCGCCCTTAAAACAACTAGAAGACTGGTATACTTTGTAGATATACAAGCTTGCATTTATATAGACGAGGAAACCCATATCTTTTTTTTAAAAAAAAAACTACGAGGAACTTCTACTAGGTAAGATTACTTTGCTTCCATCCTGTAGAGTAAAAGTTGCATACTTACAATCCCCGCTAATTACTAGATAGGATCAATTCTGGGAGTACCAATCAAAATGTTCGCGTAAATTCAGGCAGATCTAACTAACTCACTACAGATATAATGTGCAACCACATCTTGGAAAGGTGAATTGCCACTTTTGAAGAAATAATGTCTAAGCATCTTATCATAAGGAATGTGATAAGGGAGAAGGAACGTTGAAGAAGGAATCGAACAGGTTCCATGACAAAATTCTTGTATCAAATTCTTCTCTATCATATCAAAAAAGTAATTTGGTATTAGATTTTTTGTTAGTTCAGTTGTATCTGATGGGCCTGGCTTGGCCCAGATCAGAGATACATATTAGATCCAGTTAAAATATATAGGTCAAATTCACCACAAAATCAAGAAATTTCAGTTAGACCAAGCTCACCTTCTTGAGAAACCCCAGCCCATCATTAGTGTATGTGAGAATCTCCATCCGAGGAGAGGGAATCTGTGGAGATGCAGTCATCAGGGGCACATCACCAGTCTCGTGAGATCACCTCGCCCGTTATTAGATAGGGTGAGCTTCAAGGAATTACCCCGCTATCACCTCGCCTATTACGAGGATAAGACGAGCTTAACCGAATCACCCCGCTCCTTGTTAGGATGACGCTTCAGTCAGAGCCCCTTGAAGCCATCTTCACTCACCTATAAATTATAAGTCTCGCCCACACATGGGAGCATCACACAAATCTTAGCACTCTGCACACTTGAGTAATAGGACTCTTCGGTCCCCGTCATCATTTTCAGTAAAATAGGTTACCTAGATCGAATCACTTAATCTTTGTGTTTACTTGTGTTAAGCCTTTCTTACTTTATGCTTGATTAATTTTGTATAAACCCACTTTTGTACATTATTAGTAACTATAGATCATGGAAAAAATTAAGTGAAGTGAAGTGAAATAAAAAGAAAAAAATTTCACAATTTTATTGAATGAAAATATGACGTACAATACCGAAATAAGTGAGTTAGGCCACCCAATGTTCTAACTATAAAAATAAAAATTAAGTTTTTAAAACTTTTTAATTATGTTTAAATTATGAATTTCAGTTATAGTTCTTTTTCCCTATTTAGTGTATATATTAAAGAATAATAATTATTATTAGTTTTATAGGTATTCAAGACAAACAATGAAAAAAAATAAAAATCAGTTACACGTTACAGGCGAAGGGCCAAAGCCAAACAGTCAAATATTTAAAGTGATTTTTGAAAGCCATGGGTTATACAGCGGCTATATAAAGTTGGATTTGAGAAATTTTTTAGTAGTGTACGAAATCAACACTTCCTCAGTAGACTTTCCAATAGCTCATATCATTCTTTTACACTTTGGCCTATTTTCCAATTCCTTCCTTTACACTTTGGCCTACCTTTTCTGTTCCTTCTTTTACACTCAACCTACTTTTCAATTATCATTTATTTTATTTTGGGTAACTCGATTCGAGTCAGGTTCATTTCAACCTTCCAGTGGATGTGACCATTGAGAAAGTGCTACTGCGAGCGTCTGGGTTGGATCTTGGAGTCGCTGGTGTCCATCAGTACCCTCACATGGGGAGGCTCAGCTGTTTTATGACAGTGATCACATGTCTCTTAGACTCACAGGCCAGTTCAGTTCAAATTAATTTATTTACTTTATATAAATTGCATGTTTATACATTTTATGTGTTTATTTAGATTGCATGTTATATGATCTAACTATTGTTTGCATGCTTTATTTCGAATNTGTTGGTTTTTTTTTTATGGAGTCTAGTTTGTATATGCGATCCGGATGATGACTCGACCCGAAATAATGTTGTGTGGTTTTTAATGGAAAATTTTCTGAGGCTTAGTCCATGGAGCGAAGGCTTGGGCCGAAGAAATTCTGCCCCCGAAGTTGGGGGTTCGGGGGCAACGCCCCCGAAGAAAATTTTTCTGGGCCCGTTATACAGCCTAGTGCGTAGAACATATAAACCCTGTTGTTTTGGTGATTAGGGTTAATCGTGTATGGTACAGCCGCTCTCTGTATTCATCTCTCTCAATAGTGAAATCCCTGCAGCTTCGTGGACGTAGGCAAATTGCCGAACCACGTAAAATCTGTGTCTTGTTCTTTCTTGTTTCTTATTGCTTTATATTCTTGATTTGTTCTTCGATTGTGTGTGTTTGTTAGTGGATTTAAATCGTG